CTGCACGTCACGATCGTTTATCTGCAGGATGACATCACCGGGTTGGATCAAGGTAGCACGCTGTGCTGAACTGCCACGGAGCTAGAAAGGAATGCATGTAAGTGAGATGACAGAAGGCTCAAGAGACGGATTAATATATTACATAGACATAACTACGCCTACGGAAATGCATATAGTAGATAGTTCAGCATTTGTTCCTTGCATCCACTGTTATTACCAATATTACATCCATCGGGCATAAATGACTTACAATATCTCCCACAGTTGTGCCCTGGTAGGGCGTGGTGTCAACCAGAACCAGACCATAGTTTTGGTCGGGGGCCTTCTCCAACCGTACGCTATAGCTCTGCAGGTAGCCCTGATCCTGGGAGGCGGCGCCTGAATCGCGCAGAACGGTTAACACAGCGATCTCGCCAGTTGAGCGAATAGCCTGTGCGTGAATAACGCGGGGGGGAGGGAGGAAAAAGAGGAGTCGACAGTTAGTTGGTGAGAAAGCAGTAAGCACTGTGAAGAAAACACAAGACAGACTCCGCAGGTAGAAAACGCACATTTCGGGCAGTGGCATGCGTTGCGTTGCGAAGGTCAACATTGTTCACGGCCAGCAGCCGGTCGCCGGGTTTCAGGCGGCCATCACGAGCAACCACACCGCCCTCGTAGACCTCGTGCACGAACACGCTCCCCTACAAAAAACGATATTGTCATCTAGGTAAAAACTGTTGACCAAGAGCCAGCCAGAAGAAAGGTAGAAACGTAGTAAATAGGGAAAGAGTACGTGGATGGTATCAACGCCGCCGACGATGGAGAAGCCCAGGTCCCCGCTGCCTTTCAGCAGCTCGATGGTGGTCTCCACGCCCGGCACAATAGGCACTGGGGGAGCATTGAGGGGAGAAAATGTCTTGGGAAGGGGTGAGGTGGACCGGCCCTCAACAATTGGATGAAGGAGATGCACTGGCTTGATACGAGAGACGCGAAGACTGACGCGGTTGGGACATCGAGTCAACAGCTGCAGGGCAGTGTCGTAGTCGTCGATAAGCTGACCGTTCACTGCAATAATACGATCCCAGCTGGCAATCTTACCCGCCTGCAATGAGGAATAGATTTAATTGTAAGGTAACAAACTACCGCATCAAAGGAAAACCGGTGTAATATGCCGGGTGGATTGGGGGCAGGCAAACAATCGTACTATGAAAAGAAAGGTTCATTGACAAAAAGAAC